ATCATTGTTGAAACGGAATAGCAGACATTCTGGGAACAAGGCCACTGGAGGGAGGGGTTGGGGGCAAAGGTTGCTGCTTCCATGCCCCCCTCATCCCAACAGCCCCCTCCCCAATGCCATCCGGGCTTCAGAGACCTTATCACTAAAACTGAGAGCAGGGAGTTACACCCAAACCCCAACATGGTCATGAGCAATCTTTTCATTTTTGTCATCATGATCAATGCTTTGATTTTGAAAATCACACCTGGCATTCTGGTACATTCTGTGGGCTGTAGTAAAAGTTTCTGTCTTTTTTCTTTTTAGTAACAATCTCAAATAGTCTTACAGTTATTCCAGCATACTGGGAAATAAAGAGCCAAGATTTTACAGATAAGTGAGTAAAAACAAAAGCCCCTTAACTGTGTGTACTCGCTTGCTGACTCCTAAGGTAAGGTGAGTCTCAGGCCCCATTCTGCCTATTAAAAGCTATGCTGATTGGACTGGGGTGGGGCAATGACATATGTAAATTAAACACTTACTCTGTTGAACACCAGGGACATAAAGAAGAATAAGATACTGCCTTGTTCTTGCAGAAAAGGTGGACACTCAATAGCCAAGTATAATATAATGTGATGTGTGCAGCAATGGCACAATGGGATATGTATTAAGTTATACAGGGAGGGAGTGGTTAGCACTGTTAGCAGGGTGAAGTCTGTCAGGAAAGACTTCACAGAAGAGGTGACACCTGACCAGGTTTTTAAAGATGAAATGAAATTGGCAAAGTGAACAAGATCGGGAAGGGTATTCCAGGGAACGGGGAACAGAATGTGCTGAGGCAAAAAGGTATGTTTGAGAACTATGAGTTGTTTGCTATTTCTTTGGAATAAATAGAGAAGCAGGAAGTAGAGCTGCAGAACTAGAGGGAGGGCAGACATGCTTAGGACTTTGAATTTGAACTTGAAGACAATCATGTACCACTAAAGGATTATAAAGGGGGATGTACAGTGGGGCATGGGCGCAGATTGATTAGATTTGTGTTTCAGAAAGACGGCATCTTGGTGGTGACATGGAAGGTAACCAGATAGGATCAAAACTCGGGGCCTGACACCAGGAAAGCTGCTGGAAAATTCTAGGTAGGGAATGAGTAGAAAGGTAGTAGGGCTAAAGAAAACTGAGCTTGAAATCCGTGCATTTTATTTCTTCCTTTCCCTTATGGTTCTATGATTGAGTGATTTTTCCCTCATCCCAGAGGACAGCAACAAATTAAGTTTGAAGATACTACTGAGCCAGATCTTATGGACCAAGGATTCCCAAACACCCTTGCCCTAGCCAGGCCCACCTCCAGGGGAAACCCTCCAAAGTGGTGGGATCTTAAAATGCTCGGCCATGAGTTCTTCCCAGCAAAGGTGTCTTTGAGAACCTTTGTTTCTCCTCTGCAAATAAAAAGTCTTTCCCTTCCCAGGTCACTGGCCAGGTATCAGATCATCCTTGGGCGGGGAAGCGGGGGTGGGGGGGTGGTGCAAGCTGGTTCACAGAGTCTGCAGGTTGACCTCAGCCAGGAGGGGAAAAATGGGGGGCTCTTGTAACTCCATCGCCTGCAAAGAAACCTGATTCTGTAGGAAGGGTCTGGATGGGGATGAGAAAGACAGAGGATCTGGGGCTGAGAAGGGGGAAAAGGGAGCAGCATTGTTCCTGGTGGGTTCCCTCTGGGTTCAGACGGTGGATCATCTCCCGCCTCATTATCATCTCAAAAGAGAAAGAAAGGGGCTGTGAGAGCTGGCTTCCCCCTTTAACAACTTCTTCCTCTCAGGAGACAGTTCCACAATGAAGGAGGGGCTGGGCAGGGGCCTGACCGAGGCAGCCCAGGCTCTGCCAAAGCTGCCCAGGGACAGTGGGGCTGGCCTGCCACCTGCTGGCCACTTCTGGTAGTGGGGACAGGTATCCTTCTGGTACTGCAAGGAAGGATCAGATTCTGAAACAGCTAGCATCCATTTGGAGAAAGTTGGGAATGTATTGACATTAAAAAAAGTTGAGAAGTTTGTAAAGAATGTAAAATGCAGTTCTATATGAGAAACTTATGTATCTGCGAGCAGGAAGCCTCTATCACATTCAATGAGTGCAGAGTCAACTTCCAGGGAAGTTAATGAGTCTCAACTTCTCACTTCTTCCCTTTTTTATCCATTGAGGAGCAAGAAGGAGATTGGTATTCTCAAGACCTAATTAAAGTGTGGGTATATGAGTATGATTGACATAGACTGGGAGAAATTCCTCCAGCCAAAATTGTATCCCCCACCAGTGTGCACAGACTAAAATTTACACATCGATCATGCCTGTGGATTACAGAGATTGAAGAACAAAGTCAAAATTTAAATGTTACTTGGCTGAGGCCATTCATTGCACTCCGGCCTCATTCACTGTACCTCTACACTATCCTACATACCATAGAGGCTCTGGGGGACTAATAAGACCTGACTTTATCACGTGAGAGTTAGCAGGGAAGAGTGACCAGTAGGAAACCCCAGTACAATAAGATAAATCCTTATCCAATACTGGGCAAGAAAAGATTAAACAAGAGGCTGCTGTCAAAATGATTAATGTTGCACAGAAGGTCACAATAATCTGTGATAATAATATACATTTAAATAGTATTTACTATCTACCAGACATCCTAAGTACTTTTTAATTCAGATTTTAACTCTATTTACATTTATTAACTCTACAAGGTCGGTATTGTCCCCACTCAGGTGCAGTCGCTTGCATAGGTCATATAGCTTACTAAGGAGTAGAGAAGGGATTTATACCAAGGTAGCCTAGCTCTGAAGTCTATGTTCTTAACCATGGCACCATGTTGCTGTTTATTAGCTCAGTCTGTTTATAGGAGGTAACTTTCCCGACAAATAATTCTTTTTTTTTTCCATTGAGATATAATTGACATAATATTGTGTAAGTTTAAGGCATACAACAAATCAATTCGATACATTCATATTGCAATATGATTGCCATTGTAGCATTAGCTAACGCCTCTATTTGGTCACATAAGCAATCATAGCTCATTGTGGTGGAAATAATTAAGATGTATTCTCTCAGAAAGTTTAATATGCAGAATACAATTTTGTTGTCTACAACCACTGTGATGTGCATTAGACCTTCAGGACTTTCTACTAGTTGCAAGTATGTACCTTCAGCGGCATCTCTCCTATCCCCCCAGCCCCCCGCCCCTGGTAACCACCATTCCACTCTGTTTTTGCCAGTTTGGTTTTCTAGACTACACACATGAGAGACAGCACACAGTATTCCTGGAAAATTTGTTTTTAAATACCTCCACCACCATGTCATGGTAAAACCTGACTGAGTTAGGGATAACACCATCAGCAAAGAACACTTAAAATCAAGATCAAGCATTGGGTTGAAGAGAATCAGAGGACCGCGAAGGCCATGCAGGCATTTTGATTACCAGATGGATTGGCTGCAGGATTGCACAGGCAAGAGTGTTTGGAGGCAACGTCTCTGCAGAAATCAACCCCTAAGCTCAGAACCTAAAGATGGTACTTCACATAAGCGGAGATGAATGAGGTTTCATGATAACAGCCTTCAAGCAAGCAGTCACAGTGAAGACTATACAGACTGGATCAGAACAGAGGCCATGCGTGTGACCACTGTGGTTAAGAGGAAGTGATTTCTTTGCAGGAAAGTAAAGACTGACATCTGAACCTGCTAAAGATGCTTTAATGTTGACTGTATTAAATATGTATTATAAACTATAAATATCTCCCACTCAGTCATTCCCAACCTGAATTAACATCTCAAGGAATGAATATGAGTCATGTATACGTATCAGAATAATGGAGCATCTGTTAGTTATGCTTAGTGAACTGGCTGCATTAATTTATTCATTTAATACGTATTTGCCAGGCACCTACTATGTGGCAGCCTTTAGAAATACATGCATGCAACCTTGTTCTCCAGCCCCCATGGCTGTCCATAGGCCAACTGTCAGCATTGCCCTGGATGGAGAGAGAGCTCCCATGTCTCCACATGTGGGCTTATTTCCTGGATTGCAGATTCTCTGTATCCAGCTGGACCGGTAATATTTATCAGCTCTCTCTACCAAAAATTTGCAGTAGCGATCTATTCTCTAACTGCAGCTCCATGTGAGCAGGGCCTGTTCACCATTTACCTGAGCACCTAAGGCTGTGTCTTGTACTCAACTTGTGCTCAGTAACTACCTATGAATAACTGCAATGACCTTGATACAGTCTCTGGCCCCGAGGAGCTTACCATTGAGCAGCACTGCCTGAGAAGAGACTGGGATGTGTGTCATCTCTGCCCACCTTTGTTGTTAAGAGAACAAGCTCTGGGCCAGTCTGCCAGTATGTGGAAGATTGGGACGCCAACTCAGGCACCTTGGTCTCAAGGGTTTAAATAAGGATGGCGGACCTTCGTTGGTTTCTTTTATCCTCATAGCAACCTCATTTTATGGGAGGAAGATGGCTGAGGCTGAAAGAGGTTAAGCAACTCGCTAGAATTATTTCAGATTTTAAAAGTTTTCTGTTTTTAGAAAGATAAGAGGGTGTACATACCACATATCATATAATACTTCCAGTGGGCTCTGCACAGTAGCCCGTATCAAACGTATTCAGATGTTTGCAGCAAGTCACCTGGACAAGCACAGTGAGTGGCATCGTGAAGGCTATTACAGTCTCACCTTCCTTCAGATCAGACTTGGCAGTCAAATAGATTATAAAATATTTTTTACTTTTCAGTGCTTTTTGGATTTAGGATCTGCAGGTGAGCGACTGTGGACCTGTATATGTAAAGCCCCAAGGAAAGAATATGGTACAAAGTAGGTGCCATGCACCTGGCACACAGGAGCCACGTGGCAAATATTAGTTTCCTTCCCTCCAGCCAGTCTCTCTACCACTGAGCCTGTTGTAACTCTGCCACTCCATCCCCACCAAGAGTGAGATAAGCCCCATCTCCTCACTTGTCCCCAAGTGGGAAGACCTGTAGTTCCTGCTTACCAGTCTGTGTGGGCATCATCGATCACCAACAGGATCCTGGGCCTTTGAACAACAGGCGTGGAGGGGCCCGGAGGCTCCATCAGCCCTGAGGGGGCCTGCGAGGTCTGTTTCATGGCACTGGAGAAGGAGCTAAAAAGGCTGGATCCTGGAGAGGAGAAGGAGGCCGCCAGGGGCTGGGGGTGCCTCCGCTCCATGGCCGGGGAGGCGGGGGAACTGGTGGAGCTGTCGGGGCGCTGCAGGTCTGTCATATAGCCGTTAGGCAGGTTGGCGACAAAGCTGCTGTCAGAGAGGCGTCGCCGAAGGAAATTCATGGCTGTGGGTGGACAAGGTGGCTAGATCTTCCTCAGACTTGTCCAGGAGAAGCCCCGAATACAGGTCGCCAGGGAGAGCAAGTGGTAGGGTCTTGGACCAGAAGGGCCAGGGGGATGCTGCACGAGTCCGCTTCAGCTGTCTCCGTTTACCTGTAGAAATGAGCCAACACACACATTAGTGGAAACAATCTCCGCCCCATAAGAGCAAACAGATATGGTACCTTCCTGTCTGATGCTGGGGGCAATGTAAAGTGGGGCATCTTCTTGAAGAGAAATTTGGCAACGTGTAATTAGAGCAAACTCTTTTAACCCACAATTTCCATTTTCTGGAATTCTATCCCAGGAAAGGAATCCGAGTTACAGAAAAGGCCTCCTGCACAAATGTCTTTACCATCACATTATGTGCACCAGCAAAATACTGGAAAAGCTCTCAACGTTCAATCGCAGGGTGACAAATAAATAAACTACAGCATTCAATGAAACCTTTTGTGGCTAATTTTAAAAAGTACTCAAAAAGGGGTTTTAGTAACAAAAGTTTTGATGCTGTAAATAAAGATCATGATACAAAATTATAGGTACAGAATGAATATCACCACATACAATTTGAAATAACAAAACTTTGGAAAGAAAATTCATTGGAATGTTAACAGTGATTGTATTTGGGGAATGCAATTACAGGGCTTTTTTTTTTTTTTTTTTTTTTTTTTTTGACTTTTTTTTTCACTTACTTATATTTTCCAGATTTCCTAGAACATATATGCTTTGGACAGATTTGTGCACCCCAAACTTATATGTTGAAGCCCTAACCCCCAATGTGCTGGTATTTGGAGATAGAGCCTTTGGGAGGTAGTTAGGTTAGATGAGGTCAACAGGGTAGGGCCCTCGTGATAGAATTAGTGTCCTTATGAGAAGAGACACCAGAGAGCTTGCTTTCCCTCTGACATATAAGGACACAGGGAGAAGGTGGCTGAAAGCCAAGACGATCGCTCTCACCAGAAACTGGCCATGCTGACATCCCGATCTTAGACTTCCCGCCTCCAGAACTGTGAGAAAATAAATTTCTGTTGTCCAAGCCACTCAGTCTACGGTATTTTGTTTATGGCAGACTGAGCAGACTAATAATCTCATAAGTATTGCTTTTCTGAACAGAATAAGTTTTTAAAAATTGTTCATGAGATTAAAATATCCCATTGAGAAAAATGATTATTTAAACCGGAAGATTAGACCCCTCTTATATTTTTTGTTAACATTATTTTATATTTTTCAGGTAAAGTGAGCCCTCCTACGTAGATTTTTCTTTCTCAAGATTGTTTTGGGTATTCTAGTTCCTGTTATCCTATGCATTTTAAAATCTACTCGTATAACAAGTCTGTTGGGATATTGTTTGAGATTACATAAAATCTATAGCTCAGTTTGGGTAGAGCAGACTTCTCAACAACATTGAAGTTTTCACTTCATGAACATGTAGAGTTCTTTACTGATAAACTTTAGTTTCTCTCAGAAATGTTTTGTGATTTTCATTACAGCACATATTTTGTTAAATTAATGATAAATTAAAAAACTGTTTTCTAAGTTTCACTTTCCATTTGTTTGCTGCTATTATCATTTTTGCGAGTTATTGTCGATATATTGATCTGATAGATTCGATTATTGTTTCTAGTGGTTGTTTTGCAGAAAACTTCAGATTTTCTATTTAAACAATGATGTCATTTACAAAGAGATATCTCTACTTCTCCCTTTCCAATCTTAATGTCTTTTACGTCTTTCACTTCTCTAATTACAGTAGCTAGGACCTACACTGCTGAATAGAAATGATGAAAGCAGATACCCTCATCTTGTTCTCAACCTTAGGGAGACAATGTTCAATATCTCACATTACAGTAATAAGGTGTTAGCTGTACGTTTTTTGTAAATGCTCTTTATCAGATTGAGATTGTTTCCTTGTAGTCTTAGTAGGTTGAGAGTTTTATCATGAATGGATGTTGGATTTGCTAAGTAATTTTCAAAATTGATTGAGAGAACTATGTTTTTAAAAATCACTTATTTATTTAACGTGGTGAATTACACTAATTGATTTTCAAATGTTAAACCAAACTTGCACTCCTGGAATAAATCCCAGGAGTTATAGGTTGCTGGATTCAATCTGATAATACTTTGTTGAGGACTTTTGTGTCCATGTTCACGAGAAATATTGGTCTACAGTCTTCTTTTCTGGCAACGTCTTTGCCTAGTTTTGTGCCAGGGTAATGCTGACTTCACAAAATATGTTGGGAAGTGTTCCCGCCTTTTCTATTTTCCAAAAGAGTTCATGTAATATTGGTTTTCTTTTTCTTAACTCATTTCCCATTTAGAAAAAAAAATGTGCAGCTCGCTGCCAGCATTAACATCACACATAAGAATGCTACATTTTCTAGGATTTGACATTTCCAGCGATTCAGAATTACTATATTTTGTAAATGGAAATACCACTACTAAAAACAGAATGCTATAAATAGAATGATGTCATTTGTTTCCAAAGACTATCGATATACTAGAGCAATGTGAAAATAATAACAAATGAGATAATTCATGGCAAACTCTGAGGGTGAAGTTAGGTCTGTAATCCACTGGGTAAACACTGCAGTATTCTTAGGGCAAACAGGAAATGGTTAAATTATTGGCAGAATTCAACACCGAAGCCATCTGGGGCTGATTTTTTCTTTGCTGGAAAGTTGTTAGTAAGGAACTCAATCCCTTTCATAAATCTATATTCTGTTTCTTGTTATTTCAGTATTGGTAATATGGGATTTCAAGCTATTTGTCCATTTCATGAGTTGTGACTTATTGGCATAAAATTGTTCATAATTTTCGTTATCATCCTTTCATTTTCTGTAGGATATGTAGCGATTTCCTCTTATATTCCTAATAATGGTTATTTGTCTTTGCTCTCTTTTTGATTAATCTGTATTGCTAAGAATCTATAAATTTTGTTAATCTTTTAAAGAACCAACTTGCAGCCATTTCTATTTTCTCCATCATCTGTTTTCTACTCCACTGATATTTGTTCTTTATTATTTCCTCTCTTCTTTACTTTAGCTTTAATTTGTTCTTCTTTTTTCTAGAAGCTTAAGATGGAAACATAGATCATTAAATTTATACCTTTCTTCTTTTCAAACATAAATATTTAAAGTAGTGGATTTCCCTCTATGCACTGTTTTCGCTGCATCTCGGAAATTTGACATGTATTTTCGTTATCGTTCAATTCAAATTATTCTTAATTTCTTTGAGATTCTTTTTTGAGTCATGTGTTATCTAATCATATATTTAATTTTTAAATTACAGTGCTCTTTCAGATATTTTATTGTTATTGCTTTTGATATAATTCATGTATGATTAATGAATAGCGTCTATAAGATTTTAATCCTTTGACATCTTTGACATTCATTGAGATTAATTTTATGACTCAATATACTCTATCTTGATGAATGTTCCATATACTTGAAAAGAATGTGTATTTGCAGTTGTCATGTGTAATGTTCTATAAATATCAATTAGATTGCTGTAAAGTCAGGTTCCCAAGCCAGGAAGCTGACTTTGCCATGGTGATTTGCAAGCAGGAAGTTTATTGGAGAGTGCTCCCATGATTACCAACTGTGGGCAAGTACACAAAGCAAAAATGGGCTGAAAGAGAGGTTGAACTACAATCCAGTTTTAATAGAGGCCTCACTTGAGCTTGTTGGAAACATGGAACTGGGGAATCTCTTCAGAGTTCCTCATTTTCCAGTTACTCTGTTAGCCTGTACTCATTCTACTGAGCTGTCAAACTAATAAAGCTGCAGTGTTCTGCTGTGGTTCTAGCTGTTCTGTGTCACGTGGACTGGGGAATGCTTTCAAGGACAAGCCACGTAAATGTGGATCTCACTTAGTGGTTCTCATCTTTCAAGGATCAAATCCCCTCCATATTCTACCTACTTTTTGCTTCTCTCCAGGAACTTCAAATAGTTTCTTTTAAACATTTTATCCAAAGTTTATAATTACCATCTATGAGAGGGTTAGCACAACACAAGCTATTGAGTCATTACTGGAACTGAATCTCTTTCATTTTAAAAATGCTAGATAAAAAAGTTAACAAAATGTTAGAGTTGAAGAGACCTTAGAGATTATTTAACACTCTCTTCTTTAGGAAATCTGATTAACCTTGCACTAGCGGAAATTCCCCACCTTCAGAAGAATCACCTCATTATCTTCTGATCAACTCTAAAGGTCAAAGGCTCTTCCTGTAACTTCTCTCTACTTCAGTCTCCAGGTGAGCTTTACAATCTGGTAAAGGGAGGCAGATAATGAACAAGTAAACACATATGTGTGGGTTGGGGCGAGAGCTAGTAAGGAGTACACAGAGTGCAATCATTGAGGTTAACATGCGGAGGGGCAGGGAAGGCCTCTCTGAGGAGCTGACCTTTAAGCTGACACATGAAAAATGAGGGGAATGGGAAGTGCATATGCAAAGGCCCTGAGGTAGGAAAGAGCTAGGCAATTTGAAGAATAGAAGAAAGGCCAGCCTAACCAGGAAACAAGAAGATTTTTATAAGAAAATGTTTAGAGAAGTAAAGAGGGGCCAACTTATGAATATAATATAATAACTGAAAATAATTTTGATTTTAATCTAAGTGTGAAAGTAAGCCACTAGAGGGTTATAAACAAAAGAGAAACAAAACCTAATCTACCTGGCTACTATGTGGAAAACAGACTGTATAGCATGTATATGGAAACAGCCAGGCAAGTTAGGAGATGGTTAGTCATTTGGGTCCTTAAGTGTGAAAAGAAGGGAGTGAGTTGGATTATGTGATTTGCAAGATGTCTTCCTGTTCTGTGAGTCATTCACTTCCTGAACTCCTAGAGGCTGGATATCTCTTCAATGCCAACCTAAATCTAATACTGGGACAAAGTGGGGATGACAGGGATTCCGAGGGGAAAAGAAGGACAGAAAGACTGACTGCGACGGAATCTAGTAGGCCAGGGAGTACTAAGCCCCATGCCACTAGAGGGCAGCAGTGACCACACTCACACTCAAGTGTCTCATAGACACCCCAGATTCATTTCCTTGCTTACATCACCCTCAGATGAATTTAGGTACCTGAGCCCCCACTGCCCCACAGAAGTACCACTATCAA